ACATTTACTTGGTTTCTGTCCCATACAGTTACAAAGTCTGTCTTAAAGCACACAGTTCTGAATTCCTAAATTTTAAAACTATTTTGCATACCATTTTGATAATTTTATTTCCTGCTTCCATTTGACACTGGAAGTAGGGAATTGCTTACAGAATTCAGGGTTGTCCAAATTATGCAAGCTTGCCAGAACTGGACAGAGCAGCACAGAGAAATGTTAGTGCAATGCATTCTAGTGATAACTACAAAGCTGAGTTAAGGTACATTAGTTTTGAATAATTTTTAATGAGTTGGCTGAATAAAACTAATACAATTTGAATGTCTAAAGCTTTAGGCTAGGGAAATTAGTTCACTGTGTTTTAGTTGTACTGTAAAATATTTTTAAGTTTGCCTTTTATTTCACGTTATGGAGTGGAAGGTAAGTGATCTCATTACCGTTATTTTTTGTTAGACTTCTCCCAACAGAGTAAAAGCTTTACCATGGCAGTTCTGCCCTTCCTCTATCCCAGTTTGCTCTGTCTGATGGTGACATTTTCACTTTACCAGTTGTGTTWAAAAAAGTGCAAAATTCAATTAGCTTATTCACAAACACTGGTGTCTTTGACACAGGAAGACCGAGAAATGCATTCCTGGGAGGATGACTTTGAGTGCAGGGCAGAGCTGCTTTAAAATTGTCATTCTTTTTCAGGACACTGACCTTTGTTCCTGATGATCTTAAATTTCAGTCTTCTGCTCTTTTGGGATGAGTCTGTCTTGTATTTATTCCATGCAATTACTAACTTTGTATTTTTTTTTTCTTATTACTGTCACCTGCATTCGTGCTCCCCACCTTTCGTTGGCACGTCCTCTCTTCTTCTCCCCTTTCCTCAACCCCACCCCTTCACTGTGCTTCGCTCCTGGGCACTTCACAAGATGTGGAAGATGTTAAATTTGTGATAAACTACGACTATCCGAACAGCTCCGAAGATTACGTGCACCGTATTGGCCGTACTGCACGTAGTACCAACAAAGGTACTGCCTACACCTTCTTCACACCAGGAAACCTGAAACAAGCCAGGGAGCTTATCAAAGTCTTGGAAGAAGCCAATCAAGCCATCAATCCAAAGCTGATGCAGCTTGTGGACCACAGAGGAGGAGGAGGTGGTGGTGGAGGTAAAGGCACAAGGGAAAGGGTTACACAGGGAATATGTTCCCCGTTTTGAGGGAGGGAAGATTAAAAGAGGGTAGGGAAGTAGTAAGTGCAAATTAGATGAGATGTACTTGAGGTCCAGACTCCTGAGGCAGATATATTACTTTTGTCTCAAGAGAGAAGCAGTCCCCTGTTTTACCTTAGCTGTAGAATTCTTTTTTGCTCCTCATAAAGTCCTCAGGGAGCTGATTTTGGCTGAAGTAATTCCTCACTGCTCCTGCTAAGGACAGGCAACAAGGTGCGTGTGCATGCGTTGAAAATTGAAATCAGTGAGGGGATACACTTACTTTCAGGAACTGACACTTTTTCTTCCCATTCCCTGAAGGAGTGAGAATTTTCCTTGTATTTCAGAATTAGTCTTGAATTTCTTCCATTTCATTGTCTCTAGCCACATACATAAAGACCCTTGTTGAACTRAGTGTTTACACCTTCAGCTGAATGAAGAAGCATATGCACAGCTTTGCAGAGAAGTTAGTCAGAAGGTGCTCCTTGGGAGCAAAATGGGGAGGTAGAAGGGGAGAAAGGGTGGCATAAGTGTACCAGAGATCATTGTTTAAAACTTGTTCATGGTACTAAATCTTAATGTATCCATCGCCAGGAGGTCGTTCTCGTTACCGAACGAGCAGTTCAGTAAACAACCCTAACCTGATGTACCAGGAAGAGTGTGACAGGAGGCTCCGGGGAGTGAAAGAGGGCCGGAGAGACTCAGGTGGCTTCAGAGACCGTGAGCGTGGTGAAAGTTACGCCAATGGAGCCAACAAGACCTATGGCAGTGCCTACGGGAGCCCAAATTCTGCTTTTGGGGCAGCACAGAGCCAGTATGGTTACACTCAAGGGAGCTATGGAGCAGCTGCCTATGGCACGAGTGGCTATGGCACTGCAGAGTACAGTGCTAGTGGCTATGGTGCCAGCACCACAGCTGCCACGGCTGCGAGAACCTCACAGAGCACTACCCAACAGCAGTATGCAGGGATGGTGGGGCGCTCGGGCCAGCAGCCACAGCCACTCATGTCACAACAGTTTCCGCAGCCCCCTGCCACTAATGTGATGGGCTATATGGGACAGACTGCCACCTACCAGTACCCGCCCCCTCCCCCACCCCCCCCCCCCCCCCGCAAATGAAACCACTTGCTGGTGACCAGTGTAGACCTCTTGCATTTAAAGGAACCTTTTCTTTCTCTTCTTCCCCATTGTGATGTCTCTCATGCAGGTTAGACTTAGAATTCACTATTCAAATCCCTCGAGCCTATCAAAAATGGCCCCCAGACCACATTAATGATCCTGTCTCCTTTTTTTTTCTTTTTTTTTT